CAGTATATCTATCCAACATTCTACCGTGCGAATAAATTTGTTTCGACAATTCGCACGGTACCGTGTGAATAATTAGCTCTTATCAGTCTTATTCGCACGGTAGACCTAGCCGATCAGCATTTAAGGTTTCATGACGTAACGGCTGTCATACCGTACGAATAAGTTCTTATTCCTAATTCGCACAGTACCGTGCGAATAACCTCTTCCTAAAAAAAAAAACACTCAAAGGTATTACAAATGGCAAGAAAGCGGCAAAAACATTAAAATATTAAAAAAGAAGATACAAGAAATACATTAAAAAAATAAATTAAAAAAAAAATAAATATATAAATATAGAAAAAAAATTATTATTTTATTATTATAATTATTATTATAATTATTATTACTATTATTTGGACCGAAAATTTGTAGCACCAATCGGGAAGGAGGGTGGCACACTCAAATCATCAAGGGTAACATTGCTGTTTATGAATTATTGAGTAATCGGATATAGTACGGGATTGGACTATTGACAAATCTATTTGTTTTAATGGAAAATTGCGTGATTTTGTTACCATTGCGGAGATTTTTATTGGCTGCGGTAACGAGTGTGTGGTACCAGATCAGAAGAATGTGAGGTTAAAGTGAGACCCTTAGCGAATTTGAGACAGTGTGCCACCCTCCTTTCCGAGAGCAGTTCAAGTTCACATATGCCCAAGGCAATTTCATAAGAATTGAAATGTTTGCCTAAGATTATATGGCATGCCCTTTTCTGTATCGCTTCAATAGTGTTACTTAAATCTTGAGTGAGGCCAGGGTGCCACACAACATCAGCTAGCCTGGGTTCCAGGCCCTAATTTTAGGTTACTCACTCTTTATTGCACTTAGTGCGCGCCATACCTAATTTTATTGGCGTCCCATACTCGATTTCTTTTTTTTCGAATTAGGGCCTGGGCAAACGATTCATGCGTACGATTTCCCACATCAAATTTGATGTGGGATATCGTATGCATGACTGATTTTGTAAATCACGTGACTGGCTAACTTCATGCATATTAATCAATCTTGGTAAACTTTCAAAATTGAAGATGCGGATGTCTCGACTAGAACAAGAACCAGCTCCCTTTTGGCTACCTAAACTTGAATAAACACAGTTAGTATAGTTCTGGCCTGCTGAGAACGACATGGACTGATAACCGTAGGCTATAGGAACCTTGCTCACCGCTAGCTGCTACACAGATTTAGGTCTTTAGGGTAGATTGTTAAAAAGGTAGGCCTCTGTAAGTAAGAACTTAAAAATACGCCAAGCCTCTACTAGTCTAGGCTAGGCCTACTCCTGACTCCAGACGAGGCCTATCGATCCATCCTCCTGGAAAGTTTTGTTGTATGTGTATGGTATGCCATCTAGTCTAAGCTTAATTGTTTTTGCCATTGCCAAAATTAGTCTTACTAGGGTCTATTCTAAATATTTTAGGCCCGTTTTTTTAGGGAGGACTATTTAAATTTAGTCATGCCTAACTAATCGACGGAGTGACTCAGTTTCGTGGCTCCAAAAATATGAACATTTGATTGGTTGAAATTGTTTATTTCGGTCCGCCCATTTATCCAAATACGGAATATAAGATTACGTCATTCTTTTGGCATCCTGGTGCCTGACTTCAGTGTTTTACAATCTCTAAATTAACTTTCTCGTTGGTGGCGCTGTCCAGAATGAGAAAAATAATAAAAAATAAGAGACTTGTGGCAAGTCTAAACATCAGCATATTCTAATATTGGTCTGATATACCCTGTATAAACTGCTCTAGTTCTTGTTTATCAAGTCCAAATTTCTTAAGATTACGCAGCATAAACAGTTTCCTGTTGGCCTTAGTAACAATATTGTTAACTTGGGCATTCCATTTCAAATTATTTTGAAGTGTGACGCCCAATATTGTAGTTTTATCAACCACAGCAAAGATCTTATAAACACAAGATAGCGTTCTCCGCGATTTACGCGTAACAAATAGAAGCGTCGGTCAAGGTTCAAAAGTTTCCAATTTAGCAAGAGGGCGCCATTCATGCGCTATTATACCAAGTATTATACCAACAAGAAAAAGTAATCAGCTTTGGAAGAGGGCGTCCTATCTGTTGCCATGGATCTGAGATGGTTCCTGTTCTGCTGTTCACAGGATTGATACCCTAATGGTAAAGTCGAGCGGTCAAGGGTCAAAAGTTTCCAATTTAGCAAGAGGGCGCCATTCATGCCTTATTACAGAATTTGCACACGTAAGTCGCGGAGAACGCTATCTTGTGTTTATAAGATCTTTGACCACAGCTATAAGAATACTAGAGCGCTAACAGCAATGTATTCGATGTTCGAAATACGCAGAGCTGTGTGTGTGTACCGTCCAATTATAATCAAAGATACTAGAAATACAAGATAGAGTTCTCCACACAAAAAAAGTGTTCCACCGTGTTCCACCGAATTGCATGTGGGAATACGTAAGATGGGACGCCCCCTACAGCTGGATCTAAAAAAACTTTGCCAAACTTTCGTTACCAAGTCGTCGCGTATTTCATTATCAATTCTCAACAAAGATACTAGATATAAAAAACAAACTGGAATAGACACCCAGACAGTGACATCGGTGAATACATAACCTC